CTCCATCCACCAATAATCCCTTCATATTTTCTCTATCCGTATTCTAATATTTTAGAAAGATCTGATCCTGTCACCCTTCTCTTACAATCTTTCTTTAGATCTTCCCTGATTGAAAGATAAAGTCCATATTCCTTATGATGGTATACAGACTTCTTCAAATTTATGCCCTAATAATTTTCTACTTTCTGAACATGAATGTTTATTATTTAAGCCACCTCTAGTTGTATATTCTATTATTTATAGCTACAAGGTTTTTCTCTGATTTATTCAACTTTGTATGCCAACAACTAGCACAAGGTTTAGCCAAACAGTTGGGAAATAGACAGATAGCTGGAGACACAGGTGATCTTTACTGGTTAATTTTATAACATACTCAGATATAAATAATAGCTAGTCAGTAATACATTTAATAAACCTTTGGAAATATTAGCTTTCTAAAGGCTACCTTAAAATACATGTGTGTTTGTGTGTCTGTTTACTCACTCTCAAGCAAGTGAAAGTTACAGTCTATTTGGGTATCATTTCCCCTTGCTACACAATGGAAAAGTTGAACTACAGAATGTCTAAGCTTACCTCTGTTTTGATCATACTTTCCGCAAAAAGAGGCACATATCATATCTCTCTGCAGAGAGAGTGTGTATTATATAAGTATGCATACAAACATAAAAGCTGGTACAGGTTATCGAAAAAAGCAAAGACCATTTGCTACACTCCTTAGTAATAAGTTCATAAGTCACAGGTTGGTAATCATTTCCAGACAGCATTAATTGGTCTGCCTCTTTTAGCAAGCCTAATGTAGTTTGTCAAAGGAAGTATATAGATTGGAAGGCCACTTAGCTCACCTACAAAGTTAAAAATATTTTCACATCTCGCTGCAGAATTTGTTTATTTTCTCTATTATGCCTTACTATAATGCCTTCTACTTTGCTATATTTTGCTCTATCAATCAGATACCTGGATGGCAGAAATCCATGCGATAACATAAATTAGGAGATTTCCCCAACCCCCACAGCGGTAGAGGCTAAAAATGATCTCTCCCAAAGGAGAAAGATCCAACAGAGAGGAATGACTCAGAATAAAGAGGTGAGGTTCATGTTGAGCCAGAAATGAAAAACAGTACATTTTAACTCTTTGGAATTCTACTATAATATCTTATAATATTAACAATATAACTTGGTCTTTGGCAATACTTACCTGACTTACGTAATGATTTCAATACATATTTGTGAAATATGAAAGAAAGCTTTATGGTCACATGCCCCGGACTGGGAAGAGGGACTAAGTACTAATGTACTGATGAGTAGAACATTCATGCTAATCGTAAATTATAGGGTTTGACTATATACAATGTATGACTAAAAGCTCCAAAGCAGACAACAAAGTTTTAATGAAACAATAAATAAGATAGAATATTTTATCTCTGAGGGTTATTTGGTGAACAATTTATCATATTAAATACTAATAGCTTAACAGAGTACATGAGTATCTCCCTTTCTAATTTATGATTATTTCCCTTTCTATTAATTTACAACTATTTTTGTAATACCTAAGACACATAAAGTATTAAAAAAATAATAATCTACCAGATTCCTATCACACAATCTCAATAACTGTCAATTTATTGATAACCTCAATAATTTTCCAGTTTTATTGAATCTTTACTCTTAGTTACTCTCTACCCCAGATTATTCTGAAGCAAAAATCCTATTACCTCATCCATAAATAAGAAGTTCTTAATTCTAACAAAGTCATTCTTCTCAAAAATTTTTTATGGCTAATATTTTTGTGTGTCTTATTTAAGAAATCTTTCCTCATCCTGAAATTATTTTATTCTTTCTGAAGTTTAGTTATTTTATTTATTTTTGTCATTTAAGTCTATAATTCATTCAGACTTGATTTAGGTAGGGGATTATTTCTATTTTGTCTATATGCATATCAATTGCCTAATATAATTTCTTGAAACTATCATCCATTTACCACTACTCTGTAGTTTCACTTTTGTCATACATTAAAGGTCCACATGAACATTTACAAGATTTTATTGTATATTAGGCTATAAGGCAAATCTGAACAGATTTCAGTTTATTAAAGTCATGCAGATTATAATCTCAGATCCTAAATAATTATACTATAAATCAAAATAGCTAACTAGAAAATTCCTCATGTTTAGAAATTAAGGGAATAGAGAATATTTGGAAATACATGAATGAAAATACTACATAATAAAACTGTGAGATGCAGTTAAAACAGAATTGAAGGTTATATATTTGCACCTAAATATATTTTTGCTGGATATAGAATTGTAGGTTAGCAGTTATTATCTTTCAGCAACCTAAACACTTCAATTTTTCTAGCTTCCATTATAAAGTCAGTTGTTTTGTGATAACTCTTTCAAAGGAAATGTTTTCCTTTTTTGACTGATTTTAATATTTTTCATTATATTTGGATTTTATGTAGCTTTCCTATGTTGTATTTAAGTATACATTTCTTTTCATTTTTTTCCTTTAGGAAATTGTGGGATTTTCTCAATCTAAGGTTTGATATCTTTCAGCAATTTCAAAAACAGTTAACACTACCTCTTTCTCTCTCTCCTTCCCTCATCTTTCAAATTAAAATAAACTACCTCTGCCCAATTTCATTTTTATGCACTCTCCTTTAGTATTTTCCATCATTTTTGTATGTCCATTTCTCATTCTGGGTAATTTCATATGACCTATCTTCAGTTCTTAATTATTTCTTTAGCCATTTCTAATCAGCCATTAAATTCATCTATCAACTTGTAATTTCAGTTATTGTGAATATTTTCAAATATTCTCTGTTACCTGTATAGTTTCCAGTACCTAATCAAATTTCAAATTTGGTTTATATCTTTTGACTTAATAAACATAATTATTTTACAGTTTGTGTTTGATAATCCATTAGTTACAATTACTGTGTTTCTGTTTCTGCTTTATTTGGTTCTATTACTTCTCAGTTAGGTTATAGTATCTTAACTTCTCACGGGCCTGGTTATATTTAATCATGTGACACATCCACTGTATTGGAATATTGTTAGAAATAATTAGAGGCCTAGAATATCATTACTATTTCACAGAGAGAATTTTAATTTGCTTCTACTAGGCACTTCAGAGAATTACCAGTCCTATACCACTAATCCAATTTGTCAAGGATCAAGGATATTCAAATTTATATTATAATATTGTATAACTAGTGCAAAACTTTTTGATTATGATGTCAAGCAATGGGAGAAATTTTTTTGCAACTTTTTCAAGAAATAGCTATTTTAATTCTAATATCTTTTATTGGATTAGCCTTGTTATAAAGAGAGCATCATAATGTTAATGAGGGCATGGGTCTGAATACCTACTTGGCTATTTAAATTTTAACTATCTTAAATCAAACAGTATATTCCACAAACACCAATGCTATTATATCATTGATTTTCTATTTCTTTGTACCTTAAGCAGTTTATCAAGCATTATGAGTCTATCTTGTCTGATATGAAGCTATTAAACCTCCTGTCTACTCTAATCATATAAACCTTTCATTTAAAAGACATCCCATGTGCTAATATTTCACATATCTATCATGAACTTGCTTTTTTCCTAACACCAATCTAGCCTCAGCTTCACTGCCTTCTCACTCCATGATATAGTATATTCTTCCCAGAGTGATTTTATGCCTTCTTCTTGCAAAGTTTTTCTTCTTCTCTTTATGTAAAAAGAAATAATTATCTGTTCTTTAAAAACTACATCATTATTTATGAAGAACACATGGCCTCCCAGAGTAAATTTACTTTATTTTCAATCTTAAATTTAATTAACAATTGCACTGTCACTTGACAATGTTTCATGTTTATTTAAATTGTTCTAAATGTATTATGAACTAAATGTTTGTTTTCCCTCAAAATTTGCATGTTGAAATCCCTAACTCCCCTGTGATAGTATTATGAGGTGGGGCCTCTGAGAGGTGGAGCCCTCACGAATGAGATTGGTGTCCTTATGAAAGGGACCCAGAGAGCTCTCTAGCTCTCTTTCTCCCATGCAAGGACACAGGCTGGGCTCAGTGGCTCATACCTATAATCCTAGCACTCTGGGAGGCCGAGGCAGGTGGATTGCTCGAGGTCAGGAGTTCGAAACCAGCCTGAGCAAGAGCGAGACCCAGTCTCTACTATAAATAGAAAGAAAGTAAATGAACAACTAATATATAGAGAAAAAATTAGCCTGGCATGGTGGTGCATGCCTGTAGTCCCAGCTACTCGAGAGGCTTAGGCAGCAGTATTTCTTGAGCCCAGGAGTTTGAGGTTGCTGTGGGCTAGGCTGATGCCACAGCACTCACTCTAGCCTGGGCAACAAAGCGAGACTCTGTCTAAAAAAAACAAAACAAAAAACAAGCAAACAAAAAAAAGAAGATGGCCATCTATGAACCAGGAAACAGGCCCTTACACACACCAATGGGCTGGTGCCTTAATCTTGGACTTCTCAGCTTCCAGAACTGTGAGAAATACATGTTCATTGTTTAAGCCAACCAGTCTATAGTATTTTTGTTATAGTAGCTTAAATGGACTAAGACAAAGTATTCATCTTGTTTTCCAGTGAAACTGTAAGGTTTTCAAGAAAACAAGCTTGTCAAATATTTTTACAAACCTAATATAGTGTTATGTACATAACAAAATTTTCATAAGTATTAATTTAAATAGAGTGAAGTATACTATGATAAGAATAAACAGAATTACTAAGAATTCTAAACTAAATGGTAAAAGAGCCTATAAAAATGATTAACATTGATATGTTTACCTTGATTCAATATTAATGCCTAATAGCTACAATAATTTCTTCTTATTTTGGTGACAAGAATTCAAATGTATTAAAGTAACTGTTTAATTGACGTCTTTCATTGCCAAAACGTAAGGATAACTCCTGCGAGAGTTCCCAAGCACTTTCTATGTTTATGACTAATTCAGACTACTTTAGAATTATATTTCATCACTAAGTACTTACTGCAGTTGTAGTCATTTTTGTGGAAGAAGTTGGCTGTGTTGTGGTCCAGGGAAACACATGAATTATGACTGTTGTAGTGGTTGACAGCTGACTAGCTTTATTCCCACCTAATTCGTCAGCAACTTCAATAAGTAGCTGGAAAGTCATAGGGTCCTGAATCCCTTGAAATACATCATACTGGAAATTCTGCGTGATGGCCAGAGATGGAGGATCAACACCTAGTCTCTGAAGTGTGAACTGATTATTTGTATTTCCTGGGAATGATGAGGTAATAAAACAGAAATAAAACGCATTATGGATTGTTATTTCTATTGTCTTGTTTAAGGTTTTATTTAAAAGCATGCTTCATGATAAATATATTTCCAACAGTTACAAAATATCTCACATGGGTATCTCATAAAATAGTATAGAATTGATATTTTTGAAATCATATGTCTTACCTCCTACAATTGAATAGCTCAGATGTTCCTGTGGAGAATCTTTGTCTGAACAGTTGAGCTGAATAAAAGGAATCTTAACAGTAGAATAAATTCCAGTTTCCAAATGTGGTGGATTGCACACAGGAGGCTCATCATTCACATTCTATGACACAAGAAATGTTATTTATTTTCATTTATGTCTTAAAAATTATGCCATATTTAATAAATTACTTATCTAATTTTTATGATGCATTTTCACATTCACAGAATTGCTCATTATTTATTGCTCACCATTTAAAACTCATCTTGAAGAATACATTTGAGTGTTTGTTTCATCATATATACTTTCTTGTTTGGGGTTACCCAAAAGTAAAGTCTACATTTTATTTTTAATTTTATGAATGAAGAACAAATTATTATTTAATAGATGTCAATTTCCTATGTAATATTGGTAGGACAGGTAATCACGACATGCATGAGATTACTGAATTTTGAAATTAGATTAGAAACACAATGTTATGGCATTATTAACCTTATTATTAATTTGACAGACAATGGTAATAATTTCCCTTTATTCCGGAAGATATATGCCATCAAGTCCCTTAAACAATTCATCAAAAGGAGTACTCACTACCTAAAAGGAAGCATATTTCACTATTGGACGGTTTTACTTGTTAGAAACATTTACTTTTAATGGTCTCAAGTATTTTTTTGCCTGTAAATTCAGCCTTGTTCTAAAGAAATTCACAATCTAGTAGGGCATGTGATTTACATTTCAAACGCGACGAGGTCAACAATTAATGAAAGAGGAATTATATGATCACTGGGAATGTTTGAATTCTAAGGCTCTTTGATTCTATAATCTAGGAAATAAATTGTCTGATAAACTACTTACCACCATTCCCCTTTTCCCATGTAATAGACATTGCTAATCTATGAAAGGAACTGCTTGTTTTTTATTGCCAAAACATAGGGATAACTCCTATGAGAGTTTCCAAGTTCCCAAGTACTTTATGTGTCTATATAATTCAGATTACACTATAATTTTTTCTTTCTCTTACTGTCTTTCTTCCTCCTCTCCTCTCCTCTCCTCTCCTCTCCTCTCCTCTCCTCTCCTCTCCTTTCCTTTCCTTTCCTTTCTTCCTCCCTTCTCTCCCCTCCCTCTCTCTCTCTTTCTTTGTCCCTCTGTTGTTCAAGCTAGGGTACTGTAGCACAATCATAGGTCAATACAACTTGATAGAGAAGGAGTTTTGCTATGTTGCCCAAACTAGTCTTAAACTCCTGGACTCTAGCAATCCTCCTGCCTCGGCCTCCCAAACTAAACACTAAGGTTACAGGCAGGAGTCAGAACACAACAGGCCATCTCTTAAGTTCTTACTGTAGTTGTAGCTCCTGAAGAATATAGACACAGTCTCAGAGTTATTTTCAAAGTAATGCTCAAAGAAGACTGCCAATTTTTCAGAATGGAGGATGAAATGAAACCAATTTATGTCCTTGATTTAGGAAAATGAAGTGCCTATTTCAACTTACACTTTCCTTACTTTTCTTAGTAATACTTCTTGAAAATTCTTGGCCTTCTGTATGAAAAGTATCTTAAAAGCCACTTGAGAGTGCAGAGCAAATTCCACTGTCTTCACTTTTTCTCTCCATTGCAGACGCAGTTTGGTTTGTTGGATTGCCCACTGGAGGCTAGAAAGGGGCATTTGCTAAGATTTAAGCCCCATTTTTCTAATTCAGTACTGATTCTTTTAAAATTAAAGCCTTGTTAACCATATTTCCCTGAAAATAAATCATCATCAGCATCACTCTCACCCTCCAAGTATAGCTTAAAGAAGGGAAAGACAATATCTGTTCTTTCACAGTGTTTTTCATAGCTGCTTTAGTAATAATAATAACAACTATAACTGCTATTTATTGAATGCATATTATGTTAGACTCTAATTTACCTATATATATATATGTATATATATACCATACAATAACCTCATGAAAAATATCCTGAAATGGAAAGCAAATGCATACAAAATAAAAATTTCAAGCTCAGACATAAATGAAGTGGTAGAACCAGAACTCTGGAATTTAAATTTTAAACTATGTGCTATACTGTTCTGTTAATACTGCTTTGTATTTAATCATAATCAGAGTTTACACTATCACTACAATAGCCTATTTATGTTATATGTTCTCATAAAAAGTTCCTTTTACTCCTTAAAAGATATTCTTGGTAGTATCAGGTTATTGAAAGTGGGCATTTCTCCATGTTTTAAATGATAGTTCAGTCTATATACACCCTTAAACCTGTTTCACTTCTAAAAAACCTATGGATTTTGTGTTTTAGAACTTCTTGATAGTTAAGCTTAAATTTTTAACAAAATTCTAAACACTTCCCCTTGCTAATAAAATATTATTTTTTAAATTAGTCAAACATTTTAAACATTTAAAATTGAAATATTGATTATAAAACATTTTCAAATCAAATATAGAATATAGGTTTGTCTATGAAAAGAAGTATAATGAACACTATTCTGGAGATGGGCACACCAAAAGCCCTGACTTAAGCATAATACAAGATATGCATGTAACAAAACACTTGTACCCTCTTAATTAACATTTGGAAATTTAAAAAAGGGATAGTGGAGGCATAAACAGAAAACAATTGCAGAAGTAGATAATCAATAGCTATAATAAATGCAGGTGGATGTTACTGTTAAGTTAAAAATAAATTTCTTTTCATTATTATCTGTGCTATTGTATGTTCTTATATTCTTATTTTTTCCTGGATATAATAAATCATTTCAGAAAAACTTTTCCTTTGGGTTAAAAGAATATCGTAGTAATTTTCAGGCACACTGAAGTCCCCTCAGTTATACCTAGGACTCTGATGTCCAATAATATGGTTGTTTAATTTCATATTATTTTTAAGTTTTCCACTAGGAAGATGATATTTCTTCTATGTAAGGAGTGCTTCCTAACCTAACAAGGAGTAAGCTGAGAGAGTTCTTCAGGGAACTGTATTATCTAGACCTGCTGGGCTGATCTAAGCAGCTCTCTTGCTTTGGCAAGTGAGACTGCTAAATTATGCTGTAGGTACTTTCATGCAGGCTACAGAGATACATATCACACATGCACACCCATGCGCGCACACATACACACACACATCTACTATATCCAGTGGCTCAGATCCTGTAATTGCTGAGTAATCAAGCTGGTTTAAATCTTCAAAACTGGATGTTGGCAGGGGGACCTCACTTCTACAACACACATGATGTGTCTCTTCATAGACAATTTATTTTACCATTTATTTGCCTATTGGGCTTATTGTTTCATTCACCTTTTCCTCTCTTCTCAAGTTACATTGGTAAAATAAAACAACAGATATACTGGACTACTAATACTACTGATTTGAATATGCAGCAATCCTTTCATAAACAACATATAGGAAAATATATTATTTAACTTTCAAGTGTTTCACTCTATAAAGGCAGAAAATAGCATATACAACCTCGAAGATTTTATTATGGAGATTCTAGCAACACTGCAAGGACAGTGTGAATTTATAAAGAGGCAACAGAATTGTTTCTGTTCAAGCATTTTACTATTATAATGACAAGAATTAAATGGTAAGGGCAAGAGTTAATTATTGAGTTACAATTACTTATGAATTTTCTTGTAAAGATTGTTACCTTTAAAAATTAGTCCATCTCTTTCATGAGGCATTAACAAACTCAAAAGAGTAAAAGCATTATTCAAAAAGAGAGGAGATAAGGACAAACAAATATTCCTTAGAGAGAAATTGTCCAAAGTATTTCAAAATATATTTCTACGATCATTTGTGTGTTTTATTCATTGGTGGCTTCCAAGTTCATCCCTTAACATAGTTTTACAGAGCTGTAATTTTCAACAATCTTTTTGCCATCTTTGTTATGTTTTTGAACTCTGGGAAAATGTTGGAAGGAGGAATTCTTCTTTCTCCAACATCATTATGACCAGCCTTAAAGCTAGTTCTTAACATTAAGCACAAGGACACCCTGCCAATCTTGAATCATCAGTTCTTTATTTCTGAGGTGCTGTTTCTATGGTTTGGGATTTAATATTAATATATTATGCCAATGTTATTTGCCAGAATTAATTTTGGCAAAAGAACATCATTCCTCTAACTGAATCTTCAATTACAATATAATATAGCACATCCACATCTCTAAATGTTCCCAATTAAAATATTAGAAGTATAACTGCTTGTTTATGGACATTTATGCAATATAAAGTCTTCAAGAGAGAGAAAAACTAAGTTTTTAGCTACTTATAAACTTCAAAAAATTAGAATTATTAAACTTCTGGAATGCTCACACTCTAAAATTTTATTACATGTATTTATCGACCACATTTCAATAAAACAGCCAATTTATCTGGGAAGTTCTTTTAAGCCTGTTCCCAATTAAAGAGAAACAACTTAAGTTGGGATTGTCTTTAAGTAATAAGAAAAATACATTTTCAATTTTTATATTTTTACATACTTAGCTAAGATATTTAGTAAATAAGCCAAAGCTATCTATATTTTCTTATTTCTTAATTGATAAGTTATTATTCTCAATATAGAAAGTTTAAGTCTCATATAATTTCTTATTTACATTTCATATTCTAGAGATAGACTTTTTAAGTATAGAAGGTCTATCAATTGTTAAAATACAAATAAGATAAATTTTTGGACAATTTGGGCAGCTATGGGCCATTTCTGTAATACAAATTGCAGTTAAATAAAAAATTATGCATGAAAACTAACTTAATGAAGTTAAGCCATTTTTTAATAATAACATGCTATGTTAACATGGTTACTATTAATACATACTGTTTCTTATTACCCAAAGCAGAGCAGTACAAATAAAATAATGAAACAGAACAATTTATTCTAGAAGAGGAAATTTGGAGCTTGGGTATCTATATATAGGACATTCTCTTGTAGGATTGTTTAGAGAAAGTGTAAGACTTTAATATTTAATGTAAAATGATAGCCAATTATTTGCTTGAGTATTCAGTCTCTGTAGGGAATTCATGGAGAGACAAACAGGGTTATATATCACCCATAGTGTTTTAAAAATATTGGTTCTCACAGACTGACAAACTAAATAATGATAGTATTCAGGAAATAGCAACACTGTTTTGAAT